AATATTTAACATCCGAATTACGAGTGATGACGTATTAAACAAGGTGGTTTAACATTGCGTCACATGGTTAAAAAAGTAGAAAAAAATTCTTACGATAAATTCTTATGTCGTTCAGGAATCGCAAAGAAAAAGAAGATTGTAATTCGAAAAAAACGAAATAAAAATTTAAAATAAATGCATCATGATATCATTGTCGATAAAATACGATTAAAGGTATGGAACTTTATACAGGATGTTTCGAAATTAATGATACGATAAATGGTACGAATAAAAAAAAAGGATAAGATAAAATATAGGCGATTGAAATTTATATTAAATAAATATATTAAATAAAATTTTATTAGAGATAAAAAAATGTATACGTAAGTAAATAAAATTTGGATAATGAGATTAGTTAATGGAACGATAAATTTTTCTGCATAAAATTTACCGATGTTGAAAATTAACAATTTGTTTAAATGTACAATCCTTGCACGTCCAGTTATGTAATTACTATGAATATGCAATAACTAATCGAAGACATAGAAATAAATTAAAAGTGAATTTTTTCTGAGCTCTTTTGTCTTTTGCAAAGAGCAAAGTGAAAGGTTAAACATTCTAAATTTAGTTTCCTTTTAAAATTAATCATATTTATGCGCCACGTGAAAGGAGATGTAACTGTTTGTAAGTTCAAGAGCTCATTTTACTTTGTTACAAAGCATTGAAAACGCGGTTAAATTGGGGACACACGAACACAGGCCAACGTGATTTGAATATTGAACGTTCAACCGTTTGAATAGTTCTTTCTTTTAGGAACACAAAACGAAACATAATTGAAAAGGAAACACCATATAAAAGAAATAGAAAAAATTCTTAATGAGATGGAAAATTTCGCTTTTTTGAAATATCTAATATTTAATTTTAAATATAATTTTTAAAAAAAAATATATAAATCTTATCGAATTAATAGAAGCATACATTAATTTCCAATGATGTCTAAATCATTTTCATATAATAATAATAAATTTATAAATAATGATTAAATAATTTATAAATAAATGATTTTTAAATTAAATATAAGCAACGTATTTCCATGAAACTATGTAGATAGATAATTAATTTTAATCAATATTTTTCATCTTCATTAATGTGACATTAATGTATTCTAACATGTGATAAAGTACACTAAACTGGAATACACGTTTTTTATACAGGATACTCAATTTATTTTTATTACAAAAGTGTTACAGACTTGCAAGTAGAATAATAAAACCATGATAGCTAGAAACGAGAAAATCTAGTCAACCGTGGAATCTGGATAATATACAACAACTATACACAACATAGTTTTTTAATTTGAAAAATTTTATTTTACTTTGAAAATTTATTATTAACGTTAAAATTAAAATAAATCTATTGATCATACGTAAAAATTAAATTGAATCGGCATTAGTTTCTCTATTATAAATTGATAGATATTTAATTATTAATGTATTTTAGAATATCTTATATGTATATGTATAACACGTTTCGGCATTGGATGCATTTGCGAACAACTATCTTGCGTACCAAATTCAATTACCAACGTACAGGAAGATGTTGATGACGACAACATTGAACAAACATACGTCTGACCAGTTTAGTGACAACTAAACTAATGAATGTTCGAATGTTAATTCGTAAATTTAATGTGCACATGAATATCTAGAATAACTAGAGCGTGATTTCATATAAATTTTAATATTTTATGATTAAAGATTGTGTTAATTTCTTTATTAAACTAGCATCAAATACGACAATAGAGAAAATTTAAATATTTATATAACATTTTAATCTTCAACATTGACATGACAAAATGATCGAACTTATTATATTTAATTAATGAAAAGAAACTAGTTGCTATCATATGATAACTATTTATAACAAATGTTAATCAAAAAATAGTTTAGTATTTGTTATATTAATTAAACATATTCACATTAAATAATTTTGAAAATAATTTATACTTTCATTCTTTATCTAACGAAATAAAAATTAATAATTTTATAAATATTGCAAATCATAATACTTTCAAAGTTCACACGAACAATCTGTTTGTAATCTTTTTCGAATAATTTATTATATCTTCATAAGATATTACCGTTTCTAATGTTTATTTCGCAAAGCAAAAATCACTTTACAAGTCATAAATTATATCTTCTTCGCAAATAACATTATTACACAGTCAATATTATTAAAAATTTTTAAATATAATTTATTTGCAACTTTTTGACATATATTGTACATCATCGAATATTCTAGAAAATATTGTTCTTTTTTAATCATTTATTTATTTCGCAAAATAATAATAAAAAATTAATAAGAGTAAATAATAAAAGAAAAACCATTTCATAATTCGCGAATCATTTTTAAACGATAATAATCACATTGTCCATAATAAAAAAATTATACAGCCGATAATAAAGTACTCTTAATATCGACAAGGTTGTAGCCAATCACATTCGTAAACATACTCCAATTTGAAATCTAACGGAAAACGAGAACAGAGAATTCAAACACAGACATCACGACCATTCTATATGTGTAAGTACACGTATATTACCATATATATCACTGACAAGTTGAACTCGATCAGAAAAGAGCTGCAATTTTTTGTGGTGAACTCTCGAAAAGATGAGATTGCACATAAAGAAGAATTCGGAGAAAGAAAAAAAAGTTGAAGCCAATCGCGACGGAAATGGTGGATTGATAATTCATAATTATTTCCATATACAAACATGAAACCATAATTAGTTTGAGGTCAGAAAAGAATGATGTGACTAAAAGATTTTACACAAGCCCGCATGATTAGAACGCGACATTGTGATATTTCTTCAGCGATATGCTTCATGCATATGATACATATTTGCACACGCGTGCTCACATGCCGTGATGATTTTTCGCACGCCACTCGCTTTGGCCCAAATTACACATGCTCGTAGCTTCGCGAAACGCTCTAAAGCCAGTTGCTGCTTTCACAGCCTTTTTTTTTTCTTACACAACGCGTACACATCGTACATTCTGTATGCGAATCACGGTCAGCCTGTATTTTCGATGAAAGTGAAAGAATTGAGATCAACGACCTTTGGCGAGGGAGAAATTCACAAAAGAATATCGACAGTTAAAATACAAATCATGCTCGCGTTTAGCATTAATCCTTAAGAGCAAAAACGTACAACCTTAATCAAAAAACAGGACGGAGAAGTTTCACGAAGAGAAAGTCTGTGGTACACGAGGACTCCGTAACGTCAGCTGACAGGAACAAGAACTGCGAGAAAGAGCCATGTAATCGGTCATTGAAAAGAATATTAGTCGATATATAGAGGCATAATGAAAACATAACCGTGATAGATGTAGAAGTGACAGGAGGTTAGTCGTAAATAATGCGACATCAAATCGTATGCAATTTGACGAACAAGCACGATGATTATGTTTTCCGTGTAACTGAATAAGAAAAATACTTGCCTGTTTAAGTTGTAAGCACACGATGTTACAGGTTTCCACGTTGTATAGTGAAATTCCAGCGATCTTGCGTCTACGACACAAATGTCACCGACTTTGGCACACGATACATACACAGAACGACTATGTTTTGGCAGTGGTTCGCGGCATGTTCTTCCGGCACGAGGTCTACGACGAGGTTAAATAGACGTTGACATGTGCGCGATAGAAAAACACGACGGCACCCACGCACTATTCGGAACAAATTGTCAGAAGAACGAGGCCGAACTTTCGAACCGAACTACCGATCGTTCCGACCACTACAGACCAAGTGTAGCACCGCACTGACTGCTCTCGCCGTTCACCAAGGCGATAAACAAACTCGTCGCCTCTCCCTCGCGAGTCTGCCCTCCTTCTCCGATGCCTTCTCCTTCTTCCACCAATGGATTACTATCCTGTTTCCACGGACAAACGCCAACTGCCGTGTACTGCTGAGCGAAATTTCGGTCTTTCTCGCACCGCGGCGTTCGCAATATGGTTTGATCTCACTCTCATTACTCTGTCTCCTTCACTCTACAATTGTATATCTTTCTTACTTTCCCTCCCTCTACTTCGCTGCTCCGTTTAATGTACAGTGCTGCCGCCACACTTCGTTCCCACTATCACATCGCATCGCATTCTGTCACCTGGCGTTTTTAATTTTCTGAAATTTTATCAATGCTCTATTACAACTGAATGATATCAGTTGATAAAAAGCATTCGTACTTTTAAAAGAACTAACTGTCACTCGCAAAAAAGGCAAATGAAACGTATTTAAGCTCGTTCCATGACACGACAACGCGATGCACGACATGTTTTGAGCCACTGACGTTCGGTACTGGTTTGCAAATAGTATTAATATTACTGGCGCCACCTACTGCAATCAATTGCAACATAATTTTGTTTAAAAAAAAATTTTTTAAATTTTTTACAAATAAAAATATCTTAATTTATTAAATAAGTTACTATTTTAAATTATAAAGTAAACCATAATTGCAATTAAATTTGTATAAAAATATAATTAAATTTTCTATATATTATTCTATATTATTTTATATTATCTTCAATAGAATATATTAAATGTTATAAATATAAATAAAATACAGAAATTGTTTTACAATTAGAAGAAACTTTTTTTTAATAAAATATTTATTAAAATAAAATTGTAATATTAATAATAGTTGAAATTAAAATTAAATTTTTATAAGATTATAAATAATTCTTTTTTACCGACAATTCTTGTTTACCGACAAGTGATATATCAAAGCTTATAATTTATATAATTTTTAAAATTTGAGCTTCTTCTTCACAAACTGAAGAATTTTGTAATTTTATCATCTGATGATTAATCACAATTTATCGCTAGATGGTTATAATGCTTTGATATTTCATAAATATAATTTTTTAGAGTTGTGCATAATTAATAAAAAAGAATAAATATTGAAATAAAGTCTTGAATTATGATTATAATTATAAACTACTTTGAACTTTCGAAAGCTAAAAAATTTAATCTAAAAAACATTTTAAATATAATCTGACGATAATTCAAATAGAAAAATTAGTTCTTTAGTTGACCGTTACTGTTGATAACTTTGTGGCGGTACTATATCTCTTCCATTTTGTAGTTTGTCTTTACGGAATATTAGTCATCATGGTGCGTATATTTTAAAAATCATAAAAAGTAGCAACAATCCGTTATTAATTTCACAAAAGAATCATATAATAATATATTATTAATAATTTTAAATGAAAGAGTTAAAATATTAATGTGTATTATAATGTGTATTATAATATTTAATTACTTATGTGATTTACAAATTTTGAGGTTATATGGATGTGTTTAGTGTTGAATATTTATTTCTAAATTTATTAACTATAAATGAAATATATATAAGATAGAGTGAATTTGAAATAAAAACAATGCAAATATGATTTTAGAGTCGCGTCAGGACGAAAACGGTCAAAAAGGCCGCAAAACTTATCATTGAAAAATATTATACTCGATTAACCATGGACTTCCATACAAATAAAAGGATATGCGAAGAAATCGCTATTATTCCTAGTAAATCTTTGCGAAACAAAATCGCTGGGTATGTATTTTGAAAAGTGATTATCTAGTATGAATTTATTGTATTTGTATTTTATATTGTATTTTATAATTTATAAAAAACAAAAAGTTTTGAAATTTAGTGAATGAAAATATATTTTCTAATTTTTGATTTCAATATTTTCAGATTTGTTACTCACTTGATGAAACGTCTTAGACATAGTCAAGTACGTGGTATTTCTATCAAATTGCAAGAAGAAGAAAGGGAACGCAGAGACAACTATGTTCCTGAAGTATCTGCTTTAGAACATGATATTATTGAAGTTGACCCAGAAACCAAGGAAATGTTACAAATGCTTGGATTTAATAATATCCCAGGACTTCAACTTACACAATCTCAATTACCACCATATAGCAGACGTTCTTAAAATTTATTTCTTTATATTAAATAAGATTGTTAGTGTTGCATTTTTCAATAAAATTGCAAGCTGACATTCTAAAACTTTATGTTTTTAAATTGATTTTATCATTTTACCATATAAAATACACCATTCCTCAATATTTATATATATCAATTTTTTTTATGATAAGAAATAGATCAATATAAAATAAATTTTATAAATTAAGATCAACATATCTTATTACATATATTTTTTAATAAAAATAATTGCATTTATTAAAAGAAAAAGTATAAATTTCAAAATCTATATATAAATCTATGTGTTTTACGAGATAATAAGTTTGAAATAGAAATGCGCATGTGCAGAAATCGGCCATTTTAATTGGACTTGGTTCTATTTATTATACATTATACATTATGATAGTTATTAAAATTAATTTCTTCATCAGACTTAAATTTTCTATAAAAATTATAAAATAAAAGGAATTGAAGGATATTGATATATGAAATATTTAATTATATATTTTCATAATAAAATAAATATTTTGATTTAAAAATTCATCAAATTTATTTTAGATTTGATATTTTTCATAAATTATATGTATTAATAACTGTAATATAATTTTCAAAGTAACAAAAAGAAGAAAAAACGATATGTAAAAAATTCTACGTTATCGATTTTTTGTTGCAATTATAATTCACTTAAATATGCATAGCGTACACACATAATTTATATTAATATTTAGAATATGTATTTTAATGTATATATTATATCATAAACGATTTTTGCTTTCCTTTCTACGAAATGAGTCACTCATTTTACATTGCAAATATAGTAGTAGCAATCCTATCTCTGATATCATATTTATCAGCGATACCATTTGCTTGTGGTTCAAATTGCGAAAAACCAGAATATCATATCGAGTCGAGTTTAGAACGTTAAACATTTTACAAGAGATAACGCTCAATAAGTCCGCGACTGCATTGTGGTGAAATGCGTCGCCCTTCCAAAGCGCCCACGCGCTTAGGCCGGACCTGGATAAGTTGTTCAGAGGCTGCGCGACCTAGCACGATCCAAGGCTAGGTAGCCTAGCACAACCTGGTGAAGAGAGTAAGGTTGAGAAGAAAGAGTAAGAGAAACGGAGAGAGTAGCTGTAATCACACGCCTGCGAATGTTGGAACTCTCGGGAGCAGGGAGGAGAGACCGTACAACCGGCGAGTCAGTCGACTATTAGTGGTCTGTGACTCTGGAGGTAGCCCGACCACCGCAGAACCGAGTCCGACGCAGCTCGGTTGCGTTCGGTCGGTAGTCGGGGCCAGTCGGGCACTCCACTGCTCTTTTCGGTCTGGTCGTTTTCCTCAGTCCGTCGTCGTTACGCATCGAGAACAGTTGCATTCTTTCTTTTTCGTTAAAGACAACGAATAGTACCCATCTTTTTCCGCACTATGTGACGGATATTAGGGGGCACCGAGCGTACCCCGCCTTCTTTGTATATCATTCCCACCCTATCCTTCTGCCTGCCACTACTCTCCTTTGCCTAGAGAGAGAAAGAGAGAAAGAGCACGTTGTAAACGCAGGCACGTACGTACGCAGGCACTCGCCGAACGAAGGGGCCACGAGGGCCCCGTGGAATTGTGCTTAGGAAAACATGGAGTGTCCACATCTTGCTCAAAGCGTCCAATTCGGCGGTAACGACGTAGAAGCGAATTGTACGAAGGATCTACCGTTCGTCTGTGCAGGTAGGACCTTAAAAAAATCCATACCTTTATCCTTCTAAAAACTTGAAAGATGTATCTAGAAAATTAAACCTGACCCTCTTTCTCTCTGTTCCTCAACCAATCCTTTCTTTTCAGATTTTATTTTGCACGTCGGCTCGATCTCGATCTTTCCTTCACTTCTATTGTCTCCCATCTCCTTTCCACTCATTTCTTTTGCGTTCTTTATTCGTTCTCTGTTTCTCTCTTTTTCTCCCTGTTTCTCTCCTTGCTCTTTCTCTTCCTCTTTCTTTACCTCTCGTGACCGAGGCCCCGGCCGTTCCTCTCGCGGCCTTGAGCCGTCGTAGTCGACAAGATGAAGCAAGCCATTTCTATTTCCCTTTAAAGAAACTAATGCATGTTTCGAAAAGTATAGCAACATGTACGTTTGCGTTTGCTTTGTATTTCACAGTTAATACACGCGAGTATCGATGATGGACGCATGACTGTACGTACCGTAGTTCGTATGCTTCGCGAATCGAACTCGTTGTGCGAATATGTACATCTCTCCTCGATATAAACGAATGTGTACGTGTGAATACGTATGAATGCGAGACAAGCTTGCACGCATGTGTGCGAATGTATATGAAAGTCCACTCCTCTTCTTCGTGTATTAGTGTATATACAATATAGTGGTATGTATATGTATCCTCCGTTCATGGGTGTCTCTCTACGGACCGAACAAGAGCGTCGTGGACGTGCGCGTGTGCATCGTCCTGCTGGGAGTTCTCAGTATGCGGCGCGGTCGTCATTGGAAAATCAATACCAGACGGCACTAATCAGCTGGCCTGAGATCTGTCATTAGAACTCGCCAGATAAACGTGTTCATCGTTCAACCGGACTATTCCCGCCTTTCGTTTTTTCTAATTTTTTCCATTTTTATTTGATGATTCGCTTCAAGATTTCTTAAGAATCGGCTTAAAAATATATTTGCAAAATCAATAAAAAAGAATGATAATCTTATAAATTTTTTTTTTCGATATGATATGCTTTCTTCTCCACCGTTCGACTCTTTATTCTCTCTACTCTACTCATTATCTTTGATACTATATTTATCCTGAAATAAGCGCAATACTTTTATTGTATCCATTTAAATCTCCCTTTTCTTACATGCTCTCTCTTGTGACTAAGGATTTTTGTATAGTTATTGATAGAAAATTTTATAAGAAACTTTTTCCTCTGTTCAATAATCGGTTTTGGATTACGATATTTTTTTTCTTTTAGCGACCTCTTACGGTAGCAAGGAAGAAGCGTTTTACAATCAGCATGGTCTCGGCCGAAATTTATAAAAATTGAACATTTCTATCATTTGATTATAACAAATTTTTTCAAAAAAATTAATCGTTGAGCAAACAAGAATTACAAAATACATTTTATAAATAAATTTAACATCTGTAATATTTTAAAATCAAAAGGAATATCACAATTCACAAAGTATATCCATCTTCCGTTCGTCATCTTCGTCAAAGAGTGAGAAAGAGAAAGGAACGAGAGCACATGAAAGGAAGGGAGAGGGAAGAATAATGGAACGAAACAAATAGTCAAGGAGAGAGCTTTTCATAGCTAGCTGTACTAGTGCGATCGATGAGTCAGACTAGGGATTTTTTTTGCGAACTTTCGATTGCTC